TTGGGGAAATTTTATGCCCGCTACGCTGTGTGCAAGTGCATGTGTGTGTGTGTTACTGTTCATGCATGTGCATGTGTATTACTGTTCACGAGTGTGTGTGTGTGTGTAAATTTGTGTGCGGCGCTGTCTTTGGGGGCTTCGAGCCGGTTTGCCAGTTACCGCCTCACATGTGCATTGGATTTATTGTCAATTTTATTTGTTATCATTGTTGTTGTATATGGATGTGTGTGTCTGTATGTGTGTCTATGTTTGTGTGAGTTTGCTGTTATTTACACTGACACAATTTGAAATTGTATTAAAAATTAACGGCACTTTGGTTGCCTTGGCTGCAGCTGCAACACGAGTGCAGACTACCATTTTTTTGGGGCTTACATACACCTCCCAACCCCACCCCCCTCTTCCCACAATACACACACACACACTCTTTAGTTGTCTGACAGTTAGGTGTACCGTTACCCATGGGTCTTCAGCTGCTGCTCATCGTAGCCCCTTCGATTACCGTCAACCTGCACCAGCTCCGGCTCCAGCTCCTGCTCCTGCTCCCTTTGCACTTGTCACATTTCGGCTTTGGGCCCTGCCCCAAATCAATCAAGCACACATACACACACACACAGCTATAAATTTTGTCACTGGGGAACTGCCGCTGACTGTGTCCAACTTACGTTTAAGGCAGGCGCGCGGCTTGGCCTGTTTGCGCCTCGACATGGCGAAGCAGTCGCAATGTACTGTATAAGAAGCAGTACAAATATACCAATCAACGTTTAACTGTTAATGTCTATTAATAACTGGGAACGCGCGTTGCACTGGCAAAAAGCGCGCCAAACACGTGTTTCACTCGAACAAATTTGTTTTGGTTCAGATTCCTTAACTACTGTGAGCCGTGTGTTATCCTTGCGCCTGCAGCGTTCGCAACTGACTGAAGCTTGGCAGTTGGCCCAAAGTCCTGCCGACATGCCAAAACAGGCAAAGCCAAGCGCACAGCGAAGAGAAAAGAACAAAAGAGAACTCTTAAACAAAATGGCAAACGACGCAGCAGCGAGCGAGAGAGCGCGCACCCAGAGAGCGAGTGTGAGAGCGGGAGAGGCAGAGTCAGAGTGAGAGTATGAGTGTGTGAGAGTGTGAGTGTGAGTGAGAGCCACCCAAAGGCCGTAAAAGTTGCCGGCCAACACAAATATTAGAAGGCAGCCGGCCTAACCCCTCGAGGGTTGCAACAAACATTTTTTCCATCCCCTAGAGAATCGGGAATCGCACCAATCGGTGGCGGCCCTGTGGGTGCCCACTGGCTTTTTTTCTCGCAATTTCGTATATGTCGCATGCTGTGACTTGCGCGCCGTAGGAGCTTGCCGCCGCCTGTTAACAAACAGTCAAGTCAATTATTTTCATGCCCCTCGAGTTTCGCACGTGCGTATGGGGGGTCCTCAGAGCAGTTGCTCGTTCCTCGTTCCACGTTTGCTCAACCAAAGCCAAGGTGCTGCTGTTGCTTTCTCAGCAGCGGGAGTTGCCTTCAGCAGTGCGTGAGAACGAGAAGGCATTGCCAAGCATTAGAAAACAGGAGCAGCAGCCGGAACAGGAGCAGCAACAGCGGGTATCTAAATCCTTATTCATCAGTTTCCACTCAATCTCAAGAGCTGCGCCTTGGGTTACGCTTGCAATTCCTTCTGATGTACTTCACTTGAGTTTCACCCTTAAATCACATTTTTGAAATGCTTTCAAATTTGCCATTGCACAATTTGGTTAAGCCATAAGATTTTCGACTTTGAGTAAGGGCTAAACTATCAAAATATTTATACTTGGAAGTTTGCTTCTTATTCTTAAGAACAAACCAAATATCTATATCACATTGCTATTACTTTCTTTATTTACGTATTTCATTTCATGCCTGGATAGATGAGCTGTAAAAAAAGAGAAGCTAAAGCATGTAGAAAACATATGAAATAAATTGTTTCCACTTTTCTGTTGAGAACATCTTTAAGCTAGATTGTAGAAATAACTAGACTCAATTCTTGAAAATCCTAATGTATGCTCATTTCTAAGAAAGCATCATTTTTTTTAAAGAAATATGAAAGTTTAGGAAATTATATCCTTGAGAAACTAAAAAGCTGTGGAAACTTCGGGCTTAAATCGACTTAAAAATTGGCAATTTCTGCGTTGATCTAAGAACTATTTCTAAAAGTGACAAAAGTTTTTATATTTAATTTGTATAATTGTTTTTAAGAATTCTTAAGGTATTTCATTTAAAGTTGCTTTGCTACAATATTTTTTCAGCTGCTTAAAAATACGCGCGCTGTAAGCAGTGCAAAGTAGTTAGTGCTGACTGTACTGCTTGTTAGGCAAACGATTCACTGCTTGCTATGCAATTTTACTGCTTGTGACTGCCTAAAAGTATGCTGTGGTTAAAATCGAATTTGAAAATTTGATGCTGAATTTAGACATAAGATAAACGAGAGATAGAGAGAGAAAGATAGATAGACATAGCAAGAGATAGTGAGATAATGAGATGATGAGAGATAATGAGAGAAAATAACAAAGGGAGAGGGAGAGACAGGAACAGAGAGATTGAGTCCGACAGATAAATGCTGGGAATGATATGTACTGATAGATAGTTAGAGAGAGAGAGAGATAGACAGATAAAGAAAGAGAGAGCAATAGAATTTAGTAGCTAAAAGCAGTATAGAAATAGATGTTAGGGAGAGAAACGAAGACATTGACTTCAGTAAATTGAAGTAATATTTTAGCGCATGGCAATTAGCTAGTCCAAAGTACTTTTTTATATAAAAGGTTGCCAAAGACTTATAGAAAACTTTTAATTTCTGCTTAATTTTTGCCATATCAATTACAAACCAGGACTTCCTACTTCCTGGCCAAGCAACCACCAACGAATCTCTGTTTGCCTCGAGTATCCGCTTGGCAACGAAGCCCAAGAGCGCTGCCCGAACCCTTTTGTGGCCCATGCGGAAGCCTTTGTCGCTGCGCCTTGCTACCCATTGATCAATTCATTCAACTTCTTTGTTTACTATGGCGTACGAGACGCGTAGTAAAATGTAGCGGCATGCAGCATCTTAACCCACTCGCAAAGGAGCCAAAAACGAAAAGAGAACAGGCGAGGAGCGTGAGGAGAGCAGAGAAATATGTAAGAAAAGAAAACATCTGTCGCAGCGTTTAAAAATCCGGTTGCAAGCTGCAACATGGCCAAAGATGGGGGCCAAACGAGCCACATATAAGAGAACATATGATTGAGTTCCCAAAAACAAAAAAGCAAAATAAAAAAAAAAAAACAAAAAATATATAATGCACCTTTTCGTGCAGCAGCAGCTGCTGAGAGCTAAATCCTCACACATTAAAGTGCAACTCTCTGTGTGTGTGCCGCCTGTTGCTGCAACAACAACCACACACACACACATGCCACAAGTTGTTGAGCCACACAAAAAAAAAGACAACATATTGATGAGCAGGACGAGCAACTCCTGCTGCTGCTGCTGCTGTTGGCAAAAGGAAGCCACATTAAATTTGGAGTTTGTCGCTCATCTTCTTTGTTGAGAGCAGCAGCTGCCACTAAATTTGACTGCGCTTCATTAATACGAAAAGGTGTCTTCAGCTTGTAGATAGGTCAAGTTTTAATGTTTACAATTTGCATATTATTATTTTGTGTATTTATTGAACAGCAACAGGCAACAAAGCGCTTCGGCTAAGAGAAGGAAACACATTAATCATTTTTATAATATATATATTTATGTATATTTATTTATACAACTATATTCAACATATACTTTAGCTACATAGACAGCTTAAGATTTATTTAGAAATAGATTTAATTTTTATTATTGCAAACAAATAACTTTCTTTAGGAAAATAAACTACATAAAAAATTATTAATTCTATTTCAAAATACCAAACCTCGCCAAAAAAAAATATATATATATTTATTATATATAAATAATATTAATTTCAAAACTTTTCCAATCTTCTTATATTTAACATAAAAAATTTATGAATTATGCTATTTATAAATTCCTCCCAAAAATATATATATAATTAATATTAATTTTAAAACTCATTCAAGCTTCTTATATTGAATATACAAATTTATTTATTATTAAAATATAAATAAATAAAATTAATTTAAAACTCTCAATCTTATATTTAATATTAAAAATGAATGAGTAATAATTAATTACTTTAAAGAACTTTAATTTCACAAAATTTATGCCTTTTTACAACTCTTAATAAAAAGCAAACAAAAATTATATATGAAAAGTAGATAGAAAATAATAATGCAAATTAATTAATGAATTTAATTGATTAATTGAATTTTCTATATTTTTTTTTTATAAAAATATAGAAAAAGTAGTAAAAAAAATATTAAATTATAATTAAAAACTTGAATCTTTCCAAATTTCTATCCTCTTTAATTCTCTAGAAATATATATATATATAAAAACTAGAAAGAAAAATGAAATAAAAATGTATTAAAAAATTAAATTAAATGAATTAATAAATGTCCTATGTCTAAGTTAAAAAAAAAAAATATGTAAAATGTAAAAAATAAGAGTGTATGAATAATAATTAATAGCGCTAATTTAATTTAATTTTTCTATAATTCAAATTTCTTAAAATTTTTGACTTCGTTAAGCTTGTATTTGAACTAAGTTAATAAAAAAATTTAAAATATTTATCATATATAATATAGATTTATATTTGTGTGCACACTTCTTGACGCTCAACTATTTCTCTCAGTGTGCGACAACAAAAGCGAACAGCAGGCAGCAAAGGTAAAAGGAGTGTCAGGCAGGCAGCCGGCAGTGAGGCAGTTAGGCAGGCAGGGAAAGGGACGAACAACAACAACGCTAAAGGAGAGCAGATGGAACTACCCAAACAGCCCAACGAGCGGCGCTGCTGCTGTCGCTGTCGCAGTCGCAGTCGCAGTCGACGCGTCGCTCTTCGGCTTGGCGTGGCCGAGTTGAAACTCGTGAAATCGTTCGACTCATTCGAAAATTGTGCGTGCAACGCGAAGGACGTGCAACGCGTGAAGCTCTCGTTGTTGTTGTTGTTGTGCTCGTTGTCGCTGTCGTCGTTGTCGTTGTGTTGAATGTTTTTTTAGTTGCCACCCCGTGGCAAGCAAAGACGTAGCGCCCAGCGTGTGACGTCAGTAGCGACACACAAATTATAAGTTTTCGTGAGAAAAGAAAAGAGCAAAAGAAGAGAGAAGGGAGCAGCAGGAGCAGAAGAATCTCTAGAAATCTTCAACTATGTCTGCGAATAATGAAGCGGAGCCAGCGGCTGCATTGGCCGCTGCTGCTGCTTCCTCGTCGGCAGATGCCGCTGCCGCCGCCTCGGAGTACCTGAAACGCACCTGCCTCATCTGCGGCTGTCAAACCAATCAGACCATCAACATCTATGAGCCGCGCTCCGGACCAAACATCGTGCAATTAATCCAAGCCAAATTCAAGTTTCAGGTAAGCAACAAACAAATATTCAAGGAAATTCAGCCAAAAACAAAAATCGATAAGCGAACCAAATGACTCATGTGCATGTCCTTCTCTCTGTCTGCGCGCGTGTGTGTGTGTGTGTGTGTTGACTGTGCTGTAAAAGGGGATGAAAAGCTGTGTGAGAGCTACAGGGAACACGGCCTTTAGTGTCTGGCCCACCGCCAGGTGGCTGCAGCATCCAAGCGTGTGCACTTGAAAGTCGCAAAAGGTTAGCAAAACATTTCTAACCAAGTGAGTGAGAGCGGGAGGGAGGGGGTGGGGTAGGGAGAAGGAAGTTCAACATTCGCAACAGCCAGAAGGGAGTTGTGTGTAGGGTAAGAGAGGGTGAGAGCGAATGAGTGAAGTAGGCAGCTCAAAAGGAATTATAAAACAGCAAAGTAACGGTATTTTTAAGGTGAGAAAAACTAATGGAAGCTCAAGGAATTTGCAATTGAAGTAGTTGTAGAGCCAAAGAGAGTGAGGGAGAGGGAGAGAGAGTCAGAGTTGAAGCTGAGTTACTTAAGACATTTGCGCTGAAGAGTCTAACAGAAATGAGAAGGTAAAGCTTAAGGAAGTCAGAGAGAGAGAGAGAGAGAGAGCGAGAGAGAGAGAGAGAGAGAGAGAGAGAGAGAGAGAGAGAGAGAGAGAGAGAAAGTGTATGAGAAGCTAAGGAAACTAGAGTTGTAACTAGTAGATTCATATATAAATATATATATATATATATATATATATATATATATATATAAGATATAGATTTATGAAACATACATATGATAGATATAGACAGATAGATAGATAGCTGTGCTTGACTAGAAATGATTGGCAGAAGCTGAAGTAAACAAGGCAATTATATAGAGAGAAGAGATCTTAAGCAGAGTAAAGACTGAAGATATGTCGGGAAAAGAGTATAGAAAATAAAGATAGATAACCAAGATATATAGCTATAATATCGATATGTATATATATAGTGAGAAAGATAGATATAAGATAAGAAACTAGCAAAAGATTAGCCTTAAGCACTAAGGAAAGTAGAAGACTAGAAGAGGAAGGTGAATAAATAGTTAGATAAATGAAGGAGATAGTTATATGGACAGAGAAGCATAGCTAGTTAAATGACATTGTAGATATAGATATAGACATATCATCAGGGGAGTATAGGAGATATAGATCTGGACATAAAAATAGTAGTAAATATATAGAACGAGGAGTATAGATGTAGATAGATAGATGGATGGATAGATGGATAGATAGATAGATAGATAGAAAGATAGATAGATAGATAGATAGATAGATAGATAGATAGATAGATAGATAGGTAGATAGATAGAAAGATAGATAGATAGATAGATAGATAGATAGATAGACAGACAGACGGCAGACAGATAAATATAGAAATTTATAGAAAAAAGAGGAGAAGGATGAGCAAAGGCGAGGCCTTCAGCACTACAGTAAAGTGGAGTGCAAGAACTAGGCCAGGGGCAAAGCACTTGGGCTCAGCTAGCCACGGCTAATCGAGCGAAAAGGCACTAAATAATTTAGTCCAACGCAGCAAGTGACTAAGAAAGCCAAGGGAACAGAGCAAAGTGTGGAGCGATAACTGTGCTAACTGTCGCTTGTATCCGTATCCGGTGTGCGGTATTTGTGGGCAAACTGGGCCGAGTTGGGCTAGTGGGAACTTGGGAACTTGGGTAACTGGATAGCAGCTGGTGCATTTCCCTTTTTCTGTAATTGGACACTTTGCATGTGTGGCACTTCGGTCGATACGCTGCATGTCCTGTGCACATGTCCTTTCCATAATAATTCTAATTTGAATGTGCCATGGGAACGAAAAATGCCGCTGCTGCTGCCGCTGCTGCTGCTGCTGCTGCTGCTGCTGCTGCTGCTGCTGCTTTTGTCTTTCCTGTTTGACAGCCACAAAGTGCGTTGCATATTGGATTACAGGCGTGGTGGCACGACTACCTGTGTGTGCCCCGAACCTGCTGCGGCCAGCTGCCGACGACTACGACATTTCGTGAATATCTCAACTTCATTTATGATTGATCCAATTTCTGCGGGCAGCAGCCACTGCCGCTGCCACCGCCGCTGCCACCGCCTCTGTCTACGCCTTTATTTTCTACCTTCTTTTTTACAGCTGCTTGCCAGAGCAGCTGTATTTGCAGCACACACACACACACACACACACGCACACTCTATGGCGTAACCCGCATTTACGTGCCCTTAACAACTCTTGATCTCGCTCCTTTTCGCATATCGAGCCTTTGTCTGCTCACATTTCTGTGTCTAGTTCAAGATTTTCGTTTCGTTTACCTTTTTTTCTTTCAACTGCGCAATCAGTGGAGCAGCTGCCTAGGCTTATCTATCAAAAGGATCGCAGTTATCTAGATAACTTAGAGATAAGAGAGTCCAAATAAAGAGCTAAAGACTCTGATTGAACATTGATCTTCAGCTCTATTCGCAACTATGTTTAGGGATCTCAACAAATCCTTAGTTCTAAGCAGCCTGAAGTGCTCAACATTTCAGAGATCCCTCGAGTTCCTTTAGCTACCCATGCCTGAACCTTGCGTGAGAAACCTTAGAACCACGAAAATTCTATAGAAAATTGGAAAATTTGGGAAACTCAGAAATTGAAGGACTTCTTCACTTCTGCTTCTTCTTCTTCTTCTTCTTCTCCGGTTTCACTGCCAAACTAAGTTAATTGGATTGATGACAATTGAATTAGTTTGTCATAATAGAGAAATGTGATAGGGGCTAGCCAAGCAGACATGAAGGTGGGCACTTAAGATGGATGTAACTAGAATGGGATCTGGGATGTGATCTATGGGCTGGCAGCAAGGATTGTGTAACAGATACTCAGATAGAGGCGGAAGCATAATGAGCTTAAGAATTGTGTAATAAAGAGTGAGAGATGAAAGAGAAAAGAGAAGATGAAAGGTGAGAATGAAAGATCAGAGATCAACTATGATTGAAGAAAGATGCTGGATGAGAGGTGGAAGGTGAAAGATGGTAGACGAAAGATAATGAATAAAAAATTAAGGAAAAAGGATGAAAAACGAAAGATGAAAGATAAAAGATAAAAAAATTAAAGAAAAAAGATGGAAGATGAAAGATAAAGGATAAAAAATTAAAGAAAAAAGATGGAAGATGAAAGATAAAGGATAAAAATGAAGGAAAAAGGATAAAAAAATGAAAGATAAAAGATAAAAAATGAAGGAAAAAATATGAAAAATGAAAAATGAAAAATGAAAGATAAAATATATAAAACATAGATATATATAAAAAATAGATAAAACTAAAAGTAACAAAGATATTAGATCAAATATGAAAGATAAAAAATAAAAGCTGAAAGATGCAATAGCATAGATGCAGGATAAAAGATGAATGCAATTGAGAACATAATAAAAAAATAAATAATAATAAAAATAAATAATAAAAAAAAATAATAATAAATAAAAATAAAAAACTCTCGCAATACATATAAATTCATAAGCAATAAAAAGTTATTTTCATTTAGCTAATTAAAAGCTCTAGCAAACGCCACTAAATTTGGCATCCCCTTTGGAACTCTTGGTTAATTAGGGCATAAAAAAGTAACGGAAAATATTCAAACGTAATTTTTATTGAAATTTTTCCATTCGTTTGTCATAGTTCACCCTATGCAAGAGTTAACGAACGTAGCGTTCGCTATTTGCGCAACTAGGCACCACCTGCCCTTCAGAGTGCACCCCCTATGTGACACCCCCGCCATAAACAACACACACACACACACACACGGGCAAAGCAGCAGCAGCAGCAGCAGAAACTTTACTCATTCATCTGTCTGTCTTGCCTGCCTGCCTCTACCTCGCTCACTCTGCCTCTCCCTCGCTCTGTCTCTGTCTCTGTCTGTTTATCAGCTTTGCGTGTGGCTCTGTCTGAATTGCACCTGGCCTGCAATTTGCATTTACCGTTTACACATGGTCTGGCCCTTAGCTTCGATTTGGGTTCCTTTTGTGATCCTGCCTGACTCCCTCTTCCTCGCCCTCTACCCCTCTCCCTCTCTCCCTCTCTCTGTCTCTGTCTATCTCTAATCCTAAGCAGCTGTCGCTAGCTGCCGCGTGCCTTTTGTCATGTTTGGCTTGTTGTTATTATTTGTGTTTCCCTTTTATTTTGATATTTCGTCGAGTCTCCTTTGGCTGCGCTCGATAAGGCGCGGCGCGGCGCGTGGCCAAACGAGTTTGCCGCGCTGCACCTGAGCCTCAACTGGGCACTGCGACTTGGAGTTGGTCAGCTAACCCCGCCATGGCCCCTAGCCTGATCTGGTTATTCGTTTCTTCGTGCCAGCTGCTGCTGCTGCTGGGCGCAATTTTCGGTTGGCAGGTGCACGAATTATTATTGATACAATGCCTCCTCCTCCTCCTGCTCCTGCTCCTGCTCTCATTGGTAATTAATATGCCACGGTCTCAGCCTCAACTCAAGTTTTATGTCATTTTTTGCACCTTTGACTCCGGGCTTTGAATACTCTTCGAGACTCATTAGTGGTCAGTGGTCAGTGGTTGCTGCGCTCTTCGGGCGTAGCTCAATTTGAACGGCATATTTTGGGCCTTCTGTGGTCATGCTTCAGCTGTAATTCCTTGGGCAGGACTGCGACACGGCAGCCTGCTCGGCTCGAGCGTATCCAGTCCTTGCTTTGCTATCTAATTTTAAGGCAGCTCTAAGCAATTAAATTATGTTTTTTTTTTTTCGAATTTCGAGACTAGCCTGACTAGCTGATGCCCTGTCGTAACTAGGAAATATATGCTTATACGTATATACCTCTGTCTCTGTCTCTGTCTCTAACTAACTTGTTATCTCACTTTCTCTAGAAGGAAAAAGCTCATAAGCTTTCCTTCACAGTCCCTCTCTATCTCTAAGTCTCTCCTGCTTAATCTGTCTCTTGATATCTAACTCTTTCTCTCTCTTTCTCTAACTTTCCTTACATATCTTTTTTCCTACTATAATTTACTCACTCGCACTGTCTCTGGATGCCTCTCTCTGTCTCTCTCTGTAACTCTCTCTCTACCTATCTACCCATTTCTCCTTTCATGACCCTGTTTCTCTCTCTCTCTCTCTTCCTGTATCTCCCACCCACCCTGTCTCTCTCTCTCCCCTAGTTTTACATCTCGATCATCAAGTCTTATTATCTAATTCTCTAACTAATTATAATTATAACTAAAAAATATTAAACTAACGATTCTCTCTCTCTCTCTCTCTCTCTCTCTCTCTCTTCCTCTGCTGCAGCCCTTGAATGAGGATAAATTCCTGTGCTTCAGTTGCAACAATTGGCTAATCAACTGGCACTCGCTGCAGGCGCTCAATAGCAACGACGCTGAGAGCCAGAGCCGCAGTCAGAGCCCCTCCGGCCACATGGGCAACAACAGCAGCAGCGCGGGAATCGTGCAACAGCAGCTGCCGCTGTCGAAGGGGCAGCCCGTCAAGCTGCGGCCTGTGGCTCAGGTGCGCCCGCAGCCACAGCCACAGAGACAGCCTCAACCTGAGCCGCAGCTACACCCACACCCACAGCCACAGCCATCGAGTCGCCTGCCCGCCCTAAAAAACATCGAGAGAGACAGATCAGTGAGGAGACGGCAGCCCGCTTTGGGCAGACGTCGATGCAGACGAACGAGCAAGCAGCCTAGACGGCGATCCTTGCGCAGCTCGTGCGAGTCCTGCAAGTGGCGCACGCTGCATAAACGTAGCCTGGCCAAGGTAGCGCAGCTGCAGCGCCAGCTGAGCAGGCAGCAGCAGCAGCAGCAGCTGGAGCAGAGGCTAGTCAAGTCGCCCACCTACCAAAGATTGCCCAAGCCACGCGTCGATGGCAAAGTTGTGGCCATGTTTCGACGGCTCGGCACCACGCTAAGCAACGAGCAGACGCAGGAGCAGGAGCAGGAGCAGGAGCAGAGATCAACGGCTCCACTAAATCGCATCATGAGCCCAGCCAAGCGGCGTCCACGCTGGACACGTCAGCTGGATGAAGATGAGATACTGCTGGAGTTCGATGGGGCCATAGGCGAGGTGCTGCCCTCCATGCAGCCAATCACAGCAAAGCGACGATTAAGCTACCAATCAAAGGGCGAAGCGGAAGCGGAAACGGCAGCGGAGCTGAAAGTGGAACAGGAGCTGGAGCTGAAGTTGGAGCTGGAGCTGGCTGTTAGCCAAGTGAACCACCAAGCCGAATTGCAGCTGGAGCAGCTGCAGCTGCCGCAGGGACTGAGCATCACGTTGATCTAAAAATCCAATCCAAAAGCCCAAAAACAGTAAACAAAAAACAACAACAAAAACAAAAACAAAAGAAAATTAGTCAAATTTTGCGAGCATCAAATTTAGTCTTAGTTAAACTTTAATTTATATGGTACCTCAACTAAATTTGTAATTGTTAGTCAATATATAAATATACATTAGCGAAGACCTAAGAATGTTAAGTTAATATATACATATACATACATATATTATTATTATTATTATTCTTAATTGAAACAAAGCGAACCCATCACAAGAAGTAATGAAATCGTAGTTAAATTTGTTCACATTTGCCATGTTATAGCTACAAAAACAAAAACATAACATATAAATAAAAAATAACTAGCACAACCACAATGAAAATAGCAAGGAAATCGAAGACTTATTTTGTTTGAATTTGGCGCTCAAAATTTAGCTTCATAGCTGAGCAGCTACACAACTGTTGCGCCGCTGTTGGCTACTGTGCGCGTTGCCAACCACTGTTAATTCACCCATCGATATACCGCGTGCTTCTGTTAAGATATCGATTAGGTCTGTCGTACCTTGCCTTGCACTTTTTTGCTGCTCATGTCTTTTCAGTCTTCTTTTCGTTCTTCTTGCGTATGGTTCGTTGTTGTTCGCGAGTCTTGGCATTTTTGCATTAAAACGCGCTCTCAGCGCTTGTAAACCAACAAAAAAATTGAAGTTTAAACTGTTCTGCAAAGTGCAGCGTGCTTGGCTGGTAATTAATTATTATTATTTACTGTGTTACGTGCTTACCTACATTTAAGTGGCGAAGAGTTTTAATATATTTCGAAATAAAAAAGAAGTTGCTAAAAGCGAGTTGACATTGAAGTGCGTGTGTGAATGTGTATGTGTGTGACTGTGCGAAATTCTTTTGTGTTATATTCTTATTTAAATACGCGCAAAATTATAATTGCAAAGCGAAGGTAGCAACAAAGCAACAATAACAACAACAACCATAGCAACAGCAGCAGCAGTAGAAACTCAAGCGGCAGCGCGTGCTTTTTGCTTTTCATTATTTGTTGCATCGCATAAAAATCAATAAATTAAAAAAAATTTCTGGCAAATTGTGTTTGTTGTTGTTGTTATTGTCGCAGCAGGAGTTTGTCGCCGTCGTCTAACGCTTCCGTCAACAATCGAAGAGTTCGCCTTGAAGCTCGCTCGTTCGTTCGTCCGCCTGCCGCTCGCTCCTCTTGTTTGCTCGCTCACTCATGTTTTATATTCGCCATATCGTGTTATCTTGTCTTTTCGCCGTGTTTATTTTGGTAACGCGCGCAAGGCAACAAAAAAGAAACCTAATTGTAACGCTTGTCTTGTTTATCTCTTTTATCGCCTGGCCCCAGAAGCAAAGCTTTTACCTAGCTGCATTTCGAAATAACAACAACTACAGCAAGAGAACAGCTGAAGGCTAAAGGGTAAGCGTAGAATGACAAACGATATAATAAAGAATATGTAACAAAATGGCGGCCGTCAATTTGACAAGTTCAATAATCGAAAGTGTATAGTGTGTAAGTGTATCTCTATTGCTATCTCTCTTGCTCGCACATTCAAATATAAAATTCAAAATATAACGGTTCAATGCGCCAGGCGGCATTTGAATTCGCAGTCATAGCTTTTGTTGTTGTTGTTGTCTCCTTTTGCATCTGTCGCTTTGCTACATTTCCTTCCAGCTGCTGCGTCAGCTGCGCGTGTACCGTTATACGGGTTTGTGACTCAAATAACTGCCTTGTTGTTGTTTTTATTGAGCGTTTGTTTTTGTTTTTTTTTTTCGTTAATTCGCCTTATTTGGCACAGTCCGCAATTTGTTTGTCTCAAATTTGCCGTAATTAAAAATCAAATTGATTTTTCCGTTTGCAAGCATACACGCGAGAGGCAACAACAACAAAAGACAATCAAATTGTCAGTTAGCAACAACAACAATAACGATTGCTGCAACAATGAACAAAAAGCAATTTTCGTATTAAACAGGCAGAAATAAAAAACTCAGTCAAGGCATTGGCTGCTCATTGTTATTGTTGTTGTTGCCGCTGTTCGCTTGCCACACGTTTGTGCTGCGTGTTGTTGTTATTTTTGTTATTGTTGTCGTGTGTTGCAACAATGAGCATGGCTAATTTTTGGTATAACAAAAGTTAAGTACTCGAATCTTGAAGCTTTGCCGTTGTTAACGGAACAGTTTTCGCTGTTAACAACAACAACAACAACAACAACAACAACAACAACAGCCACAGCAATGACAACAACCAATTGAAGAAGAAACGGCCCAAAAACAACAATAGTTTTTATTTTTCTTTCGTGCTTGTTTTTGCCTTTGCGTGGCGCTTAGACATTACCCAACACTATTTCGCCTAACAACCAATAAGAAATGATATTGCATTAGATTGTGCTTAACTCATTCTTTTGTTTTGTTTCTTCTTCTCTCTCTTCCTCTTTTTCTTTGAAATACCCCTTGAGCTAAATTGGTCAATTTCTAAGCCTCTCAACTTGTTAAGATTAGCTGGCATTAACTTGAATTACTTTATATACTATATTTCTATAGGCAAAAAACACGAAAGTAGTTTAAAGAGTATGAATAATATATTTATAGTGGAAAAAGTTTATTTGTCTTTATTCATATACAAAGACGTAAATTTTATTGGAAATTAAAAAAAATAATTCTGCCATTTAAATATAAATATAAAAAATGGTACTTCCCATACCGGGAATCGAACCCGGGCCTTCTGGGTGAAAGCCAGATATCCTAGCCACTAGACCATATGGGATGATGTATGTATCATGAGAATTAATGTATTTGAGCAGCATTGTGAGCAGCTACCTTGCCTAGCTGCATACACACATATATATATACATAAATATATATTTATATAGTTTTGCTCACTAAAGAAACTATAAATATTGTTATGGCTTTTTTTTTTATACAAATTAATTAATATTTGGAAATGGCAAAATAAAACTTTCCATTTGATTTATTAGCAACTGTAGAATTCGTATTGGTCACATATATTTATAAAAAGTTCGATATATGGAAAAGGGTTTTTCATATGACTGTAAAAATGGTCCCATATTGTCTAGTGGTTAGGATATCCGGCTTTCACCCGGAAGGCCCGGGTTCAATTCCCGGTATGGGAAAATGACTTAGGATCCATATTTTGTTAAACTTACCATTTATTGTACATTTTATATTAAAATGTCCCTTTGATTAATGCAGCATTAATCTTATTTTTTAAAGCCATCTTTAGAATTCGTATAGGTCTAACATTCTTAAAATATTGTCGACTTGAAAAAATCTGGATATATGGAAAAGGGCTTTCTACTAGACCCAAGGCTCGAGTCCCATATTGTCTAGTGGCTAGGATATCCGGTTTTCACCCGGAAGGCCCGGGTTCAATTCCCGGTATGGGAAACATACTTGGAGTATATCTTTTAGTGTTTATTTGGGAGCATTAATTTACTGAACATATATAAATGCTTCCCTTTGTTTAAGTACCCAACTTACTTTTTTTTTTTTGAAAAAGCAAATTATTTGACCAAAACAAATGGTTAACTATTTTTAAAATCATAAATTTTGTAGACTAAAAAAAAGGTTGGATATATGGAAAGGGTTTTCCATCTGACTCAAGGAGTGAGTCCCACATTGTCTAGTGGTTAGGATATCCGGCTTTCACCCGGAAGGCCCGGGTTCAATTCCCGGTGTGGGAAACAGATTTGAAATATATATTTTTTAAAATTTATTTCGATGACTTTAATTGGGCTACAATCTTAATTTATTGTACATTTTATATAAAGAGTTCCCTTTGATTAATGCGCCATTACTCAGGTGAATTTTTCTTGTTTTTAAAAAAGCTGAAAATCTGTAAACAGCTTCCACTTAATGTTTGACCTCGTAATGGAGCCAATATAATTGAAGTGGCTTTTTTAATGAATATCAGGCTGAAAATTTGATCCGGCTCAACGAACTGCACACGGATGGAGCCCAACTGGCTGCAACTCAATTTTCAGCTGGAAAACAGCTATAAAACGGCTAATTCATCAAAAGTGTGGCAAGCAGCGGGCCATTGTTGTAGATGTTGTTGTTGTTGTAGCTGCTGTGTGTTCGTCCGCCTACTTTTTGCTGTCTGCCACTTTCTTAGCAATTGAAACTTTGTTGTGTTTTGAGCTTTGGCTTTTTTATAATTTTTTTCTTGTATGCCATCATCAGCTCTGCTCAGGCATTAGAAGCGCGTGTGAGACGATATGCGATTGAGCAAGCAGAAGAAGAAGCAGCGGCAACAGCAGCAGAAAAAAGGCACAGCATAAAAGTTAACATTTTTATAGTTTTTTTTTGTAGCCAACAGCTCGCTCAAAGAAAGCCAAGCCCCGAGAATCAAGACAAGAGTAACAAATAAAATAATAAAAAAAGAGAGACTGTTTTTTTTTCTTTTGCTCTTCTGTTAAACGTCAAACGTTACGCCAACGCTAAGACACACGGAGCTTCGTTTGTTTTTAATGTTAAACCAGTTGAGCTGAGCTTCAGCCAGAACAAAAGAGCAACAAAAGCAAAGCAAAGCAGCAGCTGCCATCACCCTCGCTCTGCCTAGCTACAGCTGCAAAGCTACGCTGGCTGCATATTAAAGCTTTTTTGACTGTTGTCAATCCAATGTTTATTTAATGCTTTCAAAAGCTTTGTTTATTTTGCCTTTGCTTAGCTGTCCTTAAGATGAAATCTTTAATCCGTTTGATGTAGCGACATCCCGTTTTGTTCCATTGCTCAGTTGCTTATGCAGCGTTGGGCTCCAATAATTTTCATATATTATGCAGTAAGCGCTTAATTTCGAAAAGTTTCTAGCAGGACTCCCATCATTTTCATGTTTCATGAACGACGCGCTTAATTGCCAACAGTTCAATATATATATAGCATCCAGTAGTCGCTGGTATCTAATCATTTTCATATATCATAAATCAAACGCTTAATTCCGAATAGTGTACGAGTGTAGCAAGCAGGGACGTTGTTCCATTGCCATTACTCAAAAGCCGGACTCCAATCATTTTCATGTGTCATGAGCGCTGCGCTTAATTGGAAACAGTGCAATTTGTATAGCAAGCAGTAGCAGCGTTTCTTTTCCATTGCGTTGCACTGCGATCAAGGAGAGCGCTCCAATCATTTTCATGTACCATGGCCGTTGCGCTTAATTACCAGCAATGCAATTTGAATAGCAAACAGTGTTTCATTTTCACTCGTAGTCTCAGGCGTTAATTGCACAGCAGCGCGCGTTTTGTTTCCGCTATCTACTCAACACGCACTTGCTATTTACAGGCAAGCAGTGTCCATTTCCAATGCAGTCAAACAAAGCAATTTCGCTGTTTCATTTG